GTGGTACACTCTTGGGGTAGCCTTTGGGGGGTCCGTTTAAGGTGACCGCCGCTGGTCACTTTAAGATGTACAGTCTTGGGGTAGCCTTTTACTGGGGAATGTTTCAGGTGAGCATAATATATTAGGTAGACGTAACCACGAAACCTCAGACTCTTTGTTGGGGGGTCGTATACACATTACCTAAAGAGCGCGATTGGGCAAACGGGCATCGGGAACCAGTAGCGCAGCCAAAATGTATACCGCCCTCCCCCCCCTTATTTTTGATCTGCGAATGTTTCTCAGCATTGCCATGGAAGTCTGGCAGGGTTGGGCAAAAAATACGTGGTATACCCCTCCCCCTATACATTTTGGCTGCTTCATACCGTGCACCTGCTGCAATGCACAATCCTGACCACAACAACAGCTCAGGTTTTAGGGTTTAGGGTCTAGGGTTTAGGTTTCAGGGGTCTACGGTTTATGAAAAAGGGCTGACAGGCCTACAGGCATGCGATGACCATTCTAGCTGTCACCGGTCACCTTATACCCCTCCCCTCTATACATTTAGTTGTATGTAAGGTTTTAGGAATCAGGTACCCTTAAGCTGACCTCTGGGCTGTTCAGGGTTTCTAAGCAAATAGTCGGGTTTTAGGAATTAGGCACCCTTAAGCTCTGACCTTATTTCTTGAAGAATAATTCGTAATTCAAACTACTGAATAATTCCCGAAAACTTGACGCAATTGCGCATAGCTCCGGTTACGTTAAGCGGGTGCAACATTACCATGTTGGGGGTCCCTATGATAAGGATTAGCATATGTGGGGGTCTATATAGGGGTCCCACTCTTTAGGGAAACTACCATTTATATAGATTTATTATCTACGGCCAGCAAAAAAAACTTAATCCAAGTAATGGCCTGCGCGGTAAAATTTGTGGAGGCCGTTGTTTCTTTTTTTGAGGTGGTTACGAGTCTCAACTGGTTGATTCAAGGCAAGTTGTAGCTGACCCTGAACCCCGTTCATCCCCCCCAGTATACATTTCCAATTCCTCATATATGCCCCAGCAAAAATGTATAAATGGGGGCGGGGGTCGAAAATGAAGATAGGCGTAGGTATGAAAGCAACATGGGGGCGACGTTCCACCCTTCAATGAAATGATGTCAAGTTCACCATGTTAATGGTACGGCCGTGTTGAATCCTCTCCCTATGTCCCTTATCCGAGGAGAACCAAGAGATAAGGCAGATGCAGGGTAAGGCTTTACACATTCAAAGATATTCAAGCCAAAGCGTTCAACAGCTATCACATGGACTTGTAATCGCCCCCAACGTCTTGTTCTGACTTGTATACAGTATGTGTATCGGAGGTACACGTCTACCTACGAGGTTGTCTCATATTCGTGACGTTGGATGTGCACATCATATGCTGTGCAAGCTCAAAGTTTGGAAGGCGTGTAAGTTCACAGCGACAAAACTGTCGCCACGGGTTCTCATTTGCAGAGTTTTGCCTGGGCACCCAAACAGTGGCATCCTCTGCAGGCCAGATGTTTTGTTTGCTAATTGCTATGCTGGCCTGAAGGACTTTGTGCCATGCCGAACCAAGATTGGGTTTCTGGGTTTTTTCCTCCCACAACGTGTTGTGCAGTTGCGCTGTTGTTACTGTTGCCAGAGCTGCTTTTGTCTCTCAACATGTTTTGTTCAGCAAAATCGTGCGCCAAGTTGATGCTTGAAACAGACACTCCGCTTGTGTGTGGCCTTGCTAGTTTTTTTTTGTTAAAGGGTTGTTTGGGCATGTTCGAGATGACATTGCTGTTCCACCCATACCACCAGAAGAGTTTGGGAGCGACGAAGCAACTTGTTGCCCGGCCATGATTACGCGGGCACTGAAAGGCCGTGGCTATGGAGTTCAGAGACCTCGCTAGGCCGCTTGGCAGGTTGCAAAAGAGCAAGACCTGAAGTTCCTAGCAAGGTTTGACATCCCAGCGCGAACTGGCAAGCGGGAGTTCAGTTCGCATGCACGAACAGGCCAGCTTTAGGTTCACCTCCATACTTCCCAGTTCTTTTGTTGCGAGGACGCGATGCTCTGCGGGCTGGGGTCCCAGAGCCTCCTTTGCTTTTTCTGGGTTTCATGCATTTTTCTTGCGAAGCTGCCTCTCCTCCACCTTTCTATGCTGGGATTCCTGAGGCATGCACATCTGTGCTTGTTGGTCTAGGCCACATAATCCGCTTGGCTGTGAGAAAACCCGAACTCCTAGCCTTGCATCCCACAGCAGGCCGCCGTGGAGCTTGGGAAGAGGCAGCGGGGCATAGTGCGGAATGCCAGGAATCTTTCCTATTACCGGGTTCTTGTTTCCTGCCCTTCCTACATGTTTTGTGTTTTTTGCTTCGACCTACCCCAGGTAAACTTCAGATGCTGTTCTGCACACTGGCTCAGCTTAGTAGCGCGCGTTGAAGCCTCCCATCGCTCGAAGTTGCACCGCCGGAGGCAAGACCTCTGAGGGTGAACCTAAATTGGGGCTTCATTGCTCTCTGTGTCTGCTCAGGCAATGGCCGCTGGTCAAGGGAACGAGCCGGCCCTGGATGCCTCCCGGCTCGCGCTTCTTTTACACTTCTCCTTCACTGCCACTATAGCCAATTTTAGATGTGTACTGCACGGTAGCCTTGTAATGTCCGAGGCCAAGGCCGAAGCGGCCAAGTCTGGGAAGAAGAAGGACGCAGCACGTGTTGACCCATCTGGCTCAGAAACAGAAACCTTCGCTGACCAGGCGGGTGGTAAGGGCACTGCAACTGCGAAGGCGGCAGGCAGCTGGCGCAAGCCACCACTCAGCCGAGCATCAGCAGTAGCATTTCTCTGCCAGGAGGTCCGATCTTCATGCCCCCGCAGGCGGCAGTAATTAAGTATTAAGTTGCTGTGCCAGAGTGTGTGGGATGCGTCAGCGAGCCAGGCACAAGTCCTGACGCCCACTGTGCAGGTCGCGGCCGTGAGAAGGCTCCAATTTAGCTGCCGTTTCAGACTTGGCAAATCGAGGTGCCACGGCGCTTCCCAGGACACTTTATGCCACATCGGCATCTCAGCCGCAGCTAAGAGACTGTGTGAGAGCCAGACACTGCACAGTGCAGGGCTTCCTATCTCTGCATCCCAGGCTCTGCAACCACTGGAACTTGCAGGGCTGGTGCAAGAAGGCTGAGGCTGGCTTAGGGTGCCCCGCAGCTTAGGTGAATTGAGCAAAGAGTTCGCAACCTTGGCCCTGCATGCCCCTGCATACTGCAGACCTGCACCTTTGCGCACGGGATAGAGGAGTTACATCCAGATGCCTGGCACTTGGCATCAGCGACTCCAACGAGAGTGAGTGAAGGTTGACTATGCTTTCGCAGGTACAATCGCAGCTGCTACAACAGAAGCCCGGTTCTCAGCCTGCTCAGTTCTTCCTTTGCTCGGGAGATACAGGATGTTTGCGAGCTCTGTGTCCAGGCCAGGCATGCCGCCACCAACCGCCTGAGGCTGAAATTATGTGAGGCGTAGTGAGGTGCAGCGGGGGAACGCGGTCGCCCTGGGACCAACCGCTTGCATGCCCTCAGGTTACAAAAGACGGTCGACTGGTGGTCCGGCACCTCAAACCTTGCAGCTTTCAGCGACATCGAAGCTGTGCTATTGTGCAGGTCCATGGCATCAGCGCAGCGTCGAAGCCTGCTGGCAAGGCTGCGGAGTGAGTCGTTGAGAACTGCCTGCGCCCCTCGATTTTGATGGCTAGAGGGAGAGATCGTGAAGTAAATTTCTGCAGCAGGTGGTGACAGAAACTGTCAGCCTGTCCCTCAGGGGAAGCTAGCATGTCCAATCTCTGCCCACTGCAGCAATCAATCACGGCAGGCTACCCCTCAGCGCAAATGCAGTCGGCCCTTGCATCCCTTTACGGCGCACAAGCCACCTCACTGCTGTCAGGCTTCGCAGATCATATTGGCTTTAAACTCGTGAACATCTGTTGATGTTACATGACAGGTGCTAGCCTTCCCTTTGCGACTTCCAACTTCCCCTTCAACCTTCCAGGCAAGTCTCCTTGCAAGCAGCAGAGCCTCACGTAGCCTCGCCTTCTTTCCTCAGGCGCACAGGCGCTAATACCGCAACTGGCAGCGCAGCCTGGTCTTTCAGAGCTGAAGGTGCAAAACTAGCATTACAGCGATTTGGTGTACTTGAATCCTTGCAGCGTCAGGAGGATGCAAGTGACGCTGAGGCTGGGAAGGGAGACTTTTATGCGGCATGATATCGGCGCTTGAGCAGCGCCTGCAGCTATGAGGCAGAAGACCCGGCCTGTTCTAGCTCTCCGGGCCGCCCGCTGAATTCTGGAGGAGATATTACCACGAAGCCATGCATGTCACACTCAGGAACCCCGAGCAGGCGACGTCCCGCACCAGCGCCCCTTTCGCCCGCCTGCACAGTTTTTACACCTGCCAGACTGGCAAGACTCGCCACGTGTCAAAGGCTGGATGACATCTCCCCAGCGGACGGCCAAGCGATGATGGTTCGACCACTGGTGTCCCCCAGTGCCATGGTCTCGGCGCCTCAGGTCCTGGGCGGTTGCAGGTGCAGAGACTTTGCAACAATAGCTAAGGTTGCCGCCCGCTACACGACAATCAGGCACAAGCTTTGCTGTTGCTGCGAAGTCTCGGGGCGCTGTTTCTTCTGGAGTTGTAGGACCCAGCCGATGGCTTCGCAGCGGCCTTGAGAACACTGGGAGCCCTCTCACATCGCTCTTGCTCATCCTCACTTTGCTACGCAAGGCCAATGCGAGTTTCCCTGGTGTCAAGGCACTGGGACTATAGTTGCACCAGTGGCTTTTCCATCTCTTTGTGGGCTGCGCTGAGATGTGCGAGGCCACTGCCATCTCCGATTTCGACAGGCTTAACGCCAACGGCAACGGCCGGCACAATGTGCGCCCAGAATTCTCCACACCGTCATGAAACGTCTGGGATGTGTCAACAGATAATGGCTCGTGACAGCTAGTGGCAGGTCCAATACCGCGACATCTGCCAGTGACCCAGACGCCGAACGCATGGCGCCACAGAATTCTTGGTCTGCCAGAGACAGAATCTGCAGGTTGCAATGGCCGCGATCTCAACGCCTAAAGCTACACCGGTCTGCGCCTCGTTGGAGTGACCGCGCAGATGAAATCGTTACTGAAGCTATGCTAAGGTGCAGCAATCATTGACCAGTCCAGCGAGGGTGAAGCAATGTGCTTGTAAATGAGCTTGTCGGCCCTGCTGCAAGCAGTTGCACCTTGCGCAGGTCACGGCACACTTCAGCGTGCGTTCGCCCACAAGCGGCCTAGTATGGCTTCTTGGCTCTTCTTGGCAAGTGCTGTTCTCTCTAACAGCTGTGGGGGTTCGCCAAAAGTACAGGCTGGATCCCATTCTGTTGGGGGGTTCATTGTTCGAGTACAGCTGTTACGCACATCTCAAGAGTTTTGTCCAGTGGATTGGATTTGGGTGTCAACCGGGCTGGGGACAGCACGACCTCTCTTTTGAGGCCAGGCTCGCCTACCACAGTGCCAGCATCCCAGATTCCGATGTAATGCACAGGGCCCTTCATTTTTCATTGCCAAGCTTTCTTACAGGGGGGTCTGGGCAGGATCTCGCCCTCTGGGCAGCCAGCGACGCCGGATTCATCCTTAGAGTGGCGAAACAGGGCTGCGTGAAGATGGTATGGTTTGCAGTTCGCACCTGCAGTCGTGTGCTAAGGTCCCGATTGACAGGAGCACGCTTCTTCAGGCAAGGCAGGTGGCGGTCCGCTTGGACCAGGGCCCTCCAGGCCTGTGCAGCCTATGCTTGCACAGATTCTCATTTGTTTGAGAGCAAATTTCAAGTTTCACCTGGCGCAAGGACTGGCGATGCCCCTTTCCCAGTGAGTTTCGGTGGGCTTGCTTCGGTGGGCTTCCTGCAACTTCGCACACCCTGAGGTGGGCACCGACGCCGACAACAAAGGCAACACCTTTGCTCTCCACGCTTCACGTGCTTCACGTGCTTTACAGACTTAAAGCAAGGAATGCCATGCCTCAGGCAGGCGCCTTGGGTTTCCGCTATCCAGCGCCAGGCGCGCTCCCCATCCCCAGCTCAAGGCACTTCTCCCTTGGCAGTCGTTGCAGGATATGTGTCCGTGGCACCAAGAACACCAGCGTGAAACAGTTGTACAGTTGCAACGTGTTCCACATCGCGCTTGTAAAGTGCGATGTCTGTGGGTAGCCCATGGCTGACTTTCAATGTGGCTGATGTGTTGAACTCCAGCACGTGCAGACTGTAACATTTGTGCTGCAAGTACTTCAGACTCTGCAGCATGCACTTTTGCTTTACCCCTTGTGGTTATGTGCCTGAAAGTGAGCTCTTGAGCATTGACGTAGTAAGAATCGGTAAAAGAGAGAACTATTTCGTTTTTTCTTAACAGCTCATTCCAGGTACCGCAGTGGGTGCAAATAGCACTCTTGCTGACACTGTCCTTGTATGCAACTGCTGATGCTGATGCTGATGTGCTCGTTAAGGCGCGTGGCATGTTGCGGTCCACTTCTAGCTTACGAGTATATTACACATGACTCTGCTTGTGGGACTTTGACTTGATTTCAAGTACGAACGGTACTACTTTAGGAGATTGGCACCTTCGTGTGCTGGGATGGAGCCATTGAAGCTTGGCCCGTCCACTGGCAAAGCACTGGAATGCAAGCTCAGTCTTGCCATTTGACCCAGATGTGCGCAGTTTTGTTGAGTGGCACGTGGGTGTAGAATAGCCAAGAGAGGACGAACGCCTTGGGTCAAATGAGGGTGCTTCTGCCGGATGCATGTCTTATGCATGTGTTAGTTATGCAGCGGCTCGTTCCGTCTCGGAAGTTTTCTCTCCCGTCTGGTGCTCCACCGGATGCGGATTCTGAATATCAAACCGCAAGCGGGATTGGCCACAACCGTTTGCCACAGAAGCGCGGAGAAACTTGGAAGCTGAAGCACACCTCTAGCGATCTTAATGCGTTTGCATGCGGCTCAAAGACATGTTCTGGGAGCATGAACTTCTGAGCCAGGCAGTGGCAGCACTTGGAGACTTGCAACGTCGTGGCTTCCAGATAGACGCAGTGCTGTGCTCCTTGGTTGCACCTTGTTTTGCCAGCTGTTGCAGGAGAGGCTAGGGGCTAGCAGACCCTTTCGAAAAAGAATGTGTGTTCGTGCGTTGTCTGAGAGTCACTCCGGTGTCAAACCCCACAACCCAGACTTTCCTCCATTTAGCAAGACATACCAGCTCATAAAACAACACCAAGCAAGAGTAGGATAAGCCTGAAAGCAGGCTAGGGAGTGTGACAGGACATCTGAAAGATTGCTTGCTGTAAGGCAGTGCCCTGTGTCGTGCGTGGGCCTGGCATGGGACGGTCGTGGGACAAGGCAGAAGTGTGTTGGAGTGGTTTTGTGGCCAGGTGCGAAGGCTCCCGGCGGTGGGATGTAGCGTCGAAGCCTCAGATTCGAGTCGTGGACTCTTCAATCCTATAGCTTCTTGGGAGGCTCGCGCTGCTTCAGGGCGTGGCCCTGGACACGATGGCCTGCACCGCAAGATGCTCTGCCAGACTCTGCCATAGTTCATAAAGCTACGGAGAGGCAGTCCACAAGCTTCCTGAGGCTCTAATGCGCCTGCTCGGATCCTCGGCGCAGTGGCAGCGGTGCCTCGAGGCTGAGAATCCACCGAAGCCTGCTAGGAGAAGTTTTCTCAGAATGGGTCCGTACTCAGTTCCAAGGATACCCCTGAAGTTTGCAAAGGGCTTCAACATTATCTTCAACGTGAAAGTCTTAAGTGCATGTCTCAAAGTTAGAGCATTGCTTGAAGAATATCTTGCTAGGCGTTTGCCACTCCGTCTTGGCTTGCTTTCAGGTCTTCATTGATATGTGCAGCAATGGGCCCACGCCGGATGCCACCGCGGCACCTCGGATTAAAGCTGACTAGCCACCCTTGCAGATTGAAATGCAGATGATGAACATAACCACGTTGCATTGCACCGGGAATCTGGCTGGAGGCCTAAGCCCTCACTTCCTACAATAATGCCCTATTCTGCAAAGATCCTACATCACATATGGGAGATTGCGTGGCCTTCCTTTCGTCGCCAGCTCTCAACGGCAATCGCGTGCTGCGGAAGCTGGACCCATGTCCTGGTCTTGCTCGAGGAGCTGATGATTCCACATCAAGGTTTCTGCGATATTCGATGGGAACACATGGGCCTTTCAGAAAGAGAGCACCATTATACTAATTATACCATTATTCTGGATTGTAAAGGTATTTTTCCAAATCTTGCAGAAGCTTCCTTGGCTGCTCTGCAGGATGCATGGGATGAAAGTACCCCTTGGCGGCCCAATACTGTGGTGGGCAACTGAGGAAGTTGAAAGTGCACAGAACGGGCAAAGTCTGCTCTTGACACTTGAGGTCTACAACACAGCAATCTCAGCCTGTACACGCCAAGAGCAGTGGCAAGCCGCGGTGGCCCTTGCAGAGGTCGGCGTAGTAGGCGGCACAGAAGGTGCGGGAATATGCGGGATGCAGGCAATTCAGACATCGACTTTCAGGACCTGCAGCGACATCATCTGAGATCTGACGCGGTGACCTGCGGCCGTGTCCAGAGTTTTCGATGCTTTGTTTTGTCATTGCTTGCTGTTGGTGGTCTGAGGCTCCCTGGTCAGCGCCTGCGAGAAGGCAAGTGAACAGAAGAAACCAGGCGTTTGATGGGGAGCGCCGCATCAAGCTTGCAGGGCAAGCAGTGGGAACTGGCGCTTCTGCACCTGCCCTAGTGTGCCTGATGCCCCAGTCTGCCTAACCCTCCAAAACCCACTTCCCGAAGCTAGAAAGGACAGCTGGAAAAGATGCTCACCTCACAAAAGGCTTTTTTGCGAGTCGCCCAGCCGCAATGCTGTCGCCGCCTCTGCCGCGGTGTCGGCTTGCGCCAAGGCCCGGCTAAACTCTCAGAGCTTGGAAGGATGGATTTCGGGTTTGAGAGGACTGCCCAGGTTCTATCTTATCCCAATATCTTCTGCTTCTTCCGTTTCCACAGGCTGTTCCAGGCTGAGGCATGAGGAGGGCAAGCCTCTGGGGGTTGGACCAAGCCCAAACTGTACATCAGCATGCGGACCGCACATAGCAGAAGTGAAGCTGCGTAGCCTCCAGCGGCCTGAGGTGTGGTGCGCATTCTTTGCTTGTTTAGCCGCTTAGCCAAGGCAGAAGCGAGGTCCAGTAATACAGAGCTGGGCAAGGTTTGATTTGGGAAGTTCATATCATACTTCAAAGTCTCAGGTCATGCAAACCAGGCACCGAAAAGGAGTCTCTCAGAACGAGCAATCGATCTCCAAACCGTGCGCAGGCTGCGGATCCCCAGACGCTGCGGGAGCTGCTCCGAAGCCTCGCAGGAGGGATATGTAGTAGTTGTAGTAGTTTCCATTTTCTTTTCCCCAATATGCTATAGTAGTACTTTCCGTTCTGATCTCTTTTCAGGATCCCTTTTTCGAGGGTTTCGAGGGTTTGGGTCTGAGCGATTTGCGAAGGTCTGCGTGTGGAGCCATCTGGTGCAGCCTTCAATGCTGCCAGCTCTACAAGGCCGTATACGGGACAGTCTTTGTGTGGTAATTGCCTAAAATAGGGGGACCCCAATATAAACTCCAAAACAATATAGTCAGCATTATACTGACACCACACAACAGTACACACGGGTTCTGTGCCTCCGCCATCCGTCATCCCCATGTGCTTGGAGGTGCTGGGAAGAGGGCCTGGACATCTTGCCGAGCTCTGAGAGAGAAACAGTGTTTACGATTTAGGGTTTCGGGTTTAGGGCTTAGGTTTAGGATCTAGGGTTTAGGGTTTGATTCAGCTTCAGATGCAAGTTGTGTATCAGACTGGTAAACAGACTGTTGGGTACTCGGCAGAAAGGACCCTGCAACAAACACATAGTCCTTATTTCTGGGTTTGGGCTTGCAAAGCAATCCTTACCACTCATCACCTGCAATGTCGCAGCTACAAGGCGCTGTGGGGAGGTCTTGGGGGTCTCTCCCACAGCCGCCTCGGCAGGGGCGTGGACCTCAGCAGAGAGGAGCATACAAAAAATAACAACATGAACATGCGCGCATTATCAATTCAAAAGGCAAGTGTGAGCGATAGCACCAGCAAGAGCAATCGCCATAGCAACGGGCATAGGATTTACCATGGCAATAGCCTAATAGCAAGGATGGCAGTAATCAACCAGTGGTTAAAAAAAAGAAAGCTGAGGCCAAGGTCAAAGCATTGACTAGCGGCGGGCAGTGGCAGAGCATCCTCACTTTGCCCCAGCGGCTTGACCAAATGGTAGTTTCCAAACAGGGGACCTCAATACATACCCATGAAGCACCCTCAGGCTCGGAAAGGAAGAGGTGCTGCTTGGGGCCGCGACTGCCTGCCAACAGGCCATTCTCTTTGAAGAGTTGCTTTGTTGTGATGATTTGGACATTTGATTTGGAATTCCACATGGTTAGCAGTTAGCAGTTAAGACCACGTAGATCCTGCAATCTCAGTCTTGGGTGTTTGATGGTTTGGATTTGCCAAGTTTGAGTCTTTCAACAGCTTTAGCTGGAGTGATGCCAGAGGAACCAGCATCATGCGCATCATCAGGCTTGCATTTCTCCTTCAGCCACCCCATCTTGTCATCGGATGATGCACAGCCAGCATCATGAGCATCAGCGGGCTTGCGTTTCCCCTTGAGGCAGCCCTGAACCCAATCATTGCAGCATTACCCTGCAAAATAAAGATCAGCGGACTTGCGTACCTCTTCACATCATCATCATCATCATCATCAAGTTTGGGGTTCCTTGTCTCGATCACGCAGGCCTTGACTGGCCCCCAACTGGTGGCTTGTATAGGAAGTAGTCCCAGGTTGGCTCAACCCCAAGCCGTGCCGCTTGACAATTTCTTGTCTCCATCGCACCAAGCATCATGAATCGTGAGTATCAGCAGGGTCTTATCTCTCTTTCAGGGTTTGATGCCACCTCGTGACCCCAACCCGTGGCTGTCACGAACCTTTTGCCCAAAGCATGGCAATCACGGCGAAAGAAAACAACACAAGAACAGGCAAAACAAGAGAAATGGAAAGACAAAGGAAGATGGAAAGCATCAGCTTGTTGGCACCGGCGAGGAGCTTTGTA